CCCCAAAACCCCAAAACCCCAAAACCCCAAAACCCCAAAACCCCAAAACCCCAGAGGGGGTTCAGAGAACTGAAAATATGTTTTGAGGATTAAAATACTTAAATATATTCGACAGTCCACTTCAGAGATGAAAGCAACTTTATTCTTCAAACAGCACTGTAGCTGAACTCTTTTGGTAGGCTATAACTCGAGGCTATAATGGTAAGGAGCAATACGAAAATGCTTAGAGCAGTGAAAATCCAAGAGACCAGCACTATGAATTTAGTTCCATAATTGTTAACCCAAGAGTTCTTAGATATTCTCCAACCTTCTTAACTAAATTTTGGAGCAAATTAGGTCAGATGCTTTAAGAACTGATCGGAAGGGGCAGGCTAGATGGCTCATGGAAGAAGTACATGGAGATAAGCACAAATTTATATTATTTAAGCCATTTTAGACATCTAAAGAAATTCGCTACATATTTACAGACAGTTAGAGTTTAGCTGAAATTGCAGCACTTTCATTAAAAAATTTGGTGCTTTCATGCCTTTTTGTAAATTGTATCTGAAATTTAAGAAATCTTATGGAGTTGGTTGAGAAACTAAAAGAAAAAGAAGAGACCCTAAAATTTAGATCTTCTCCTTTAACAAAAGTCTTTAAAATGAGCAATCGAGGCTATCAAGCATCTAAAATAGTCGATAAACCAAGAATAGGCTACAAGTCGCTATCCCTTCTAAGATCAACTCCGTTCTAGAAAATATGAGAAGTAGTCTTCCTTTCCACTCCAAATTTGGGTTCGAATCCCGCAAGTAGATAATTTTTATCTTAAATAAAGCGGTACAATCAACCAAATTATTTATGAATGAAATATGAAATGGCAATTTGAGCACGCTCAACTTCTACTTAGCAGTCAGCAGAACTTGCTGCCCCTTGTATTAAAAAGAGATAAGTCTGACACTTGATCTTCTAGCGAAGATACAACCTAGTATCTTGGCCGATCCAAGCACAGATATCTCTTTTGAGCTTGAAAACAGGTGCTGCAATAGGAGTGGATGACTTCAAATATGCCCAAGTGATCATTTGCTTAACCTTAAAGAGCGAAACTTAAGCAGCTTGTTGAAAATCCCACACCTTGTAGTTTGGCCCAAAGCAAGGTCTTCCGAATTGGGTGGTAATATTTTACCTACTTAAAGTTAAGTTAAAAATGTTTGCTTAATTAGTAATAGCTAAATATCACCACCATCATCAGATCCATCTTCGAAAGCTGGGAAGCCAAGATCCGATGATGCATGGGATCCTTCCTTTATAGCATCAGCACTATTGTTCTCAATATCAATATCTTCCTGCTTTTCAGGAGCAGTATCCTTCTTTTCTTCCTTCGTAGTGTCATCTTCAGGCTGCTTTTCCTTTACTTCAAGCTGAGAATCCTTTTGAGGTTCATCTTTATTTCTCTTCTTGATTATCTGAATCCTCTTCGATAATTCCTTCAACATGCTTAATTTCTTCAGTTTTCTGAGTTTTGTTATCTGCAGTAACTACTCTATCGGATTCTCCATTTTTGATGGCATTACTGCTTTTCTTCTTGAGCTTTCTTTTGGTCTGGATGGTTTGCAGGGTTGGATCGTTTGCATCTGGATCCGACTTGTTCTCTTTTGAATCCTCTTCATTCTTATCAACTTCATCTCTAGAACGCTTCAATTTCTTTCTATCTATTTCTGGAAGCTCTTTATGTGGATAGACTGGAAGAGGATAGTTGTGACAGTACTTGGTGTTCTTGGTAAGCATCTCTTCGACACATTGTTCAAGTGAATGCTTCCGCCAGTTCTTCCAAAAATTCTTTAGAGATTCCTTTGATCTGCAGTAAAGGATACCATCATTACCTAAGCTTTCCCAAGTTTTCCTAGATGATTGTGACTTCCTTCCAGAGATCCAGTTGTAAATGATGATAATCTCTCTGACGGTATATTGAATCTTCTTTTTATCGAATGGGAACTTAATTCCTCCTTGGTAACTGCATAGAATATATTTAGCCTTATCCTGTAGCTCGTTTGCTTCTATTGACTCTACCAGCCATTGAAAAGAGTACACAGTACCTTGGTAGTACTCACTTTCAGAAGTATTCCCTGGAGTTCCGATCTGATAACAAAAACACTCGTGAAATTTCACGATGTTACCCCCATTCTCCCTGATAAGCTCGACCATGGTATCACGATCCTTGACAGATTCTGGAATGTAGAACAGCATGGAGACCTTTCCATACTTAGGAATCTCTTCAGTGAGGATTTCTGATTTGGCCTGACTCCCATTGATTTCTTTCAGGTCTTTATCCATTTTTAATATACTTCGATTATAGTTATTACCTCTGGGGTTTTGGGGTTTTGGGGTTTTGGGGTTTTGGGGTTTTGGGG